CCACCGGTGGTCCCTGGGTGGTCCCTGGCCCACCGGTGGTCCCTGGGCCCACCTGGGTGGTCCCTGGCCCACCGGTGGTCCCTGGGTGGTCCCTGGGTGGTCCCTGGCCCACCGGTGGTCCCTGGGTGGTCCCTGGCCCTCCAGTCCTCCCTGGCTGAGAATGGACAGATTCCTATCCAACAGCTGATTCCTACTTACCGGCCTTGGATACGGATTGTGATAATGAAGTCCTAGCTCTATTCTCGCCTTGCACTCTTCCACGCATTGTTTAATCTGCTCAGGATCTGCTAGCTGGTCTTGCAAACAATACAGAAAAAAAGAAAAGGAAAGTTAGAACAGAAAGTGCAAGGCTTCTAAAGGACGGACAGGTAAGTTAGAACTTTTTTCCCCAAATTACCTTGTGAATTCCCCCCCTATCCCTGAATGACATTCAAAGGAAAGACCTTGATCTTCCTGGAAGAATGAATGGATGGATAGAAAGAAGGGAGAGGGAGGGAGGAAGAATAATGAGAAGGAAGGAGGGGGAAGGAAGGAAGGAAAACTAAAGAGAGTGGATGAGAAGAAAGGGAGGGAAGGAAAAAGAATATTGATAATGAAAGAGAAGGAAGGAAGAATAATGAATGAATTAGAGGAAAGGAAGGAAAGGAGGAAGGGAAGAAGGAGAAAGAGAGTGAATGAGAGAAAAGGAAGGAAGGAGGGAAGGAAGGAGAGGGAGGAAGAATGAAAAGGAGGGAGGAAGGAAGGAAGGAAAGGGAGGAAGAATATTGACAGTGAATGAGAGAGGGAGGAAGGAAGGAAGGAAGGAAGGAAGGAAGGAAGGAAGGAAGGAAGGAAGGAAAAGAAAGGTGGCTAGCTACAAACAACTTCTGCCAAAATCAGACATAACCCTTTTCCAATTGTGATCTTCACAGTCTTTTGCTAAATATATTGAGAAGACGACAACGGGGGAGGTGTTTAAAGAATTACAGCCTCTGAACTATCCCACCTCCAACCCATCTACCTCCAATTACATAAAAGATGGAACCTTCCCTCATTTCTTTCTTTGCTGCCTCTTTTTTTAAACCCTGCAAATTGGAAGGTCTTTTCGGTGATAACGCAGGAGCTGATCGCTGATAGTTTATCACCCTGTTCCTTTGAATCTTGATGGGTCTGAGGTGATGGCCTTCGGCGCGCCATATATAGGCTTACCTTGGCTTAGTACAATGTTTGAACCACACACACAGGCAGGGCTGTGGATATTTAGGGCTCTAAAGGTTAAAAACCATCCCTCTGCATTGTGTTAGGGTTAGTCACCAATGCAGCCATCAAGAGCCTGACATGACCTGATCCTTCAAATATGTGGCAGTTGATATTCTCCCTGCCCGCTGTTTGCACCAACTGAAGCTTCTTAGATACCCTCCTGGAGCCACCTCTTCTTCTCCAGTCTTCAGTGAATAAAAAGCTGGATCTGTGGGACCTTTGGTCGATTTGTCCCACAAAGCAACACTTTTGTCACTCAGGAAACAGAACCAAAATAGAGAAAGAGGTATCCTCATCATCTTTGTTTAATGACCCCATAATTCCTTGTGGGGTGGAGTCCGTGCAACTGAACGGAGCTAATGGGGTGTTTACTGGCCGGATGCCCTTCCAGTTGCCAGTGAAGAGTCTTGTTCGGCAGATATATTCTCCGTGTACCCAGAGAGAGAAATATCTGCCTCTACACCTAGGATCAAACTCACAGCCTCCTGATTGTGAGACGAGAGCTCCACCGCTAGGCCACTGCAACACTCCTTCTCATCTCCCTGGATACCCCCTATCCCCCAAATCCCACTGATACCCCCCCCCCCAAAAAAACCCCACCCCTCCAGACCAAATGCTAACTCACAGTTCGATTTTTTCGGAACAACGTTTTAGCTTCGCTGATAATGTACTGTTTCTCTTTCTCCGTCTCTTTCATCTGCCCAGATGCTGACTGCCATGTTTTGGCTATTCGAAATATTTTGCGGTAAAGGCCAAGGACTTCCTGACGAGCGACTGATGTCATCTGGAGAAAGGAGAGAGGATCCCTGGGTGAGCAATTTGGAGCTGTGAAAAAAAAACAAAGGGCTTTCAAACAGATGGAATATTTCCACATTTTGCTCAATTCGTTTTCAAATATTTTCCTTGGCTCCATTCGGGAAACATGGAAAGAAACGGCAAAAATGGAAAGGAAACACCTCCCCCCCCAAAAAAACCACCCTATAATTATCTGCCAAGTGTGGGTAGTAGCTACTTTTACATGCGCTAAATTTAAGGCAAGAAAATATCCAGCTGATATCAGCATATGTGAAAATATGCCCAGTCTCCTTCCTTAAAGATAATTATGCCACAAGAATCGAAAGCAGGATGTTGAGAAGGGGAACGATAAAAAAAAGGGGGAAAAAAACCAATTATCATCACAGAGTTGAGGACAGTGATTTACACAGAATTAGATTTGGTTGATCTATGTATCAGTGCAAACTTCAAAACAGGTAGTCCTCGATTTAATGATCACAATTGAACCCGAAATTTCTGTGGCTAAGCAAGACGTGAATAGAATAGAATAGAATAGAATAGAATAGAATAGAATAGAATAGAATAGAACAGAACAGAGTAGAATAGAATAGAATAGAATACTTTATTGGCCAAGTGTGATTGGACACACAAGGTATTTGTCTTGGTACAAATGCTCTCAGTGTACATAAAGAAAAAATAAAATACATTCATCAAGAATCATAAGGTACAACACTTAGTGATACTCATAGAGTGCAATAAGCAATCTAATCATACTAGGAAACAGTCATTAAAAATTGTTAGGATACAAGCAACAAAGTTACAGTCCTACAGTCCCAGGTGGGAGGGGATGGGCGATAAGGAGTGATGAGAAGATTAATAGTAATAATAGTGCAGACTTTGTAAATAGTTGGACAGTGTTGAGGGAATTATTTGTTTAGCAGAGTGATGGCATTCGCAGAAAAACTGTCCTTGTGCCTAGTTGTTCCGGTGTGCAGTGCTCTATAGCGTTGTTTTGAGGGTAGGAGTTGAAACAGTTTATGTCTGGGATGTGAGGGGTCTGTAAATATTTTCACAGCCCTCTTTTTGACTCGTGCAGTGTCCATTTTAAGTGAGTTTTGCCTCATTTTATAACCTTTCTTGCCACAGTTGTTAAGTGAATTACTGCACTTGTTAAGTTAGTTACCCAGTTGTTAAGGGAATCTGGCTTCCTCATGGACTTTGCTTGTCAGAAGGTCGCAAATGGGGATTGTCATAAATACGAGGCAGATGCCAAGTGTCCAAATTCATGGGGATGCTTCAAAATTCACTTAACAACTGTCTTGCTCAGCAAGGGAAATTTCGGGCTCAACTGTGGTCGTAAGTCAAGGAATACCTCTTATCAGCTTCTGTCTTCCCTCGGAGCGATTGTGAGAATTGATGGTGAAAACTATGGAGGAGACCATCTTGTTAGAGGCCAATGCTTAAAACATGCTTTCTGCTTGCACCCAAGGCATGGCGGGTCCAAGCTAGCATAGACGCAGGCAGAAAGCAAGCCTCACTCAAAAAATGCTGGATAAAAATCTATCTTTTTTCTCGGCGAACAAAAGCATCGTCTGTTGTGCAGGACCGCTGAGCTTGCCACGGCAAAGCATTCTTGTGAAACGAAATATTGTGGTTTCATTGTTCATGATTTCACTTCTGCAGCAGATGAGCACAATGCTCTCTTTCTTAGTGTTCTCAAGATAAATTATTGATGGCCCGTTAGGGAACAATTGGCAAAAGTTTCGCCGGGTCATATGCTAAATCATTTTTTAACACTTTTTTAGTAAATAAATTGCATTTGGCTCCGGACACAGAAGATGGATCGATCTGTGTGTCTGTCCTTCTCTATCATCTAACTCACTCTCTCTCTCTCTCTACCTCGTTATCTCTCTCTCTCTCTCCTCTCTTTCTCTCTACCTCCTGTTACCTCTCTCTCCTCTCTCTATCTACCTCTTCTCTCTCTCTACCTTGTTACCTCTCTCTTCTCTTTACCTTGTTACCTCTCTCTCACACTCCTGTTACCTCTCTCTCTTTCTCTCTACCTCCTGCTACCTCTCTCTCTCTCTTCTCTCTCCCTCATTTTTCTCTCTTTCTATATCTATGTATCAGACAGGTCAGTCTTTCTATCATATTTATAATCATATTTATAAATGTAATAATTTATTAAGCTAAGGCCAATAAAGCACATTATAGTTTAAATTGTTAAAAACCAACCAGCACTGGCGTTTTCTTCTTTTAACAATTGATGAATTTCAAATTCAGTTCTCAATTCAATAACATTTATTGTACCGGTTCTCCTGCAAAAAGCATCTTAAAAGCCACAGGAGCCATCTCAGCTGGGTTTAACAAAGAGAGCAAGCCACTTTAGGGGAAAAAAAATCCCTACCACCAAGGATATCTTGATAGCTGCCTCTTTATCCCTCCTCAATCCTGCCCAGAAGAATTATATTGTCAGGGTGGGAGAAGAACAAACCAGGTGCCCAATCTTCATGTCCGCTCAGTTTGAAAATGCAACCCATTTTGTTGTCTTCAGAACTAAATTATAACATTTAGCTGAAGTAATGACCCCCAATTGTTCTGCAGCTGGGAAAGGTGACAAATGGTTGTATGTGTGTGTGTGTGTGTTTTAATGGGATGGTGCATTTAGCTGCAGAAAAGAAATCTCATTTGGCCGGATTCATCCCTCAAAAGTGATTCGAGAGCCACTGCAGGGCCAGTTAGGGTATACATAAGTTCCTATGTATAAGATTATTGTTAACTTTTAAGGTGATAATTTAAAAGTTAAAATGATTATTGGGACCTAAAGGCGAACTGATATATAAGGTATAGGGGTGGGACACTCGGGTAATTGTGAGGGAAACTTTTTTGAAATGTTTGAATTGAGATGGAATTTTTGAAATAATGAAATCAGAATATGCATTGAGATTACAAACCTGACAGAAAAGTATAAAGCACAACGAATATGAAGATATGAGAATTATTTAACGTTAAAAGAAATAGGTTAAGATATGAATTGAAAATTTACAAAATAAGCTTGAGTATTTTCTCAAAGTATTTGAGAAAATGAATAGAAAATATGTAAAATAATGATATGAAACTAAATGTGAAAGATGAATATGTAATCAAAGTCATGTTTGTATGGAAATGTGAAAACCTAGAACCATGTTGTTCACTAAAAGATGTTTTTAAAATGTGGAAAACTGAAATAAAACTTTTTATTTTTTAAAAAAAGTTCCTATGACATTGATGAGTGAGAAGACTTGAAAGGCTAACTTCACTCTGGAAGGAAAATTCTGACTTTTTTTGTCTTGGAGAATGGGTAAACTGGCATATTAGCACAGGGAGCAAGAGGAGATTACATGTAGTCCTTGACTTACAACCATTCATTTAATGATGGTTCAAAATGACAACAATGCTGAAAAAATAACTTACAACTGGTCCCTATACTTATGACCATCGTACCATCCACATGCTCATATTATCAAAATTTGGATTCTTCGCAACTGGCAGGTATTTATACGACGGTTGCAATTTCTCAGAGTCACGGGATTGCCATCTGCAATCTTCACAGAGGGCTTGACAAACAAAACCAACGGGGAAGCTGGATTTGCGTTAACAACCGCACAGATTCACTTAAGAACCGTGGTAAAAAAAAAAAAGTTCACTGCTGCTTTTTTCTCAGATGCGCGTTTTCAAAAACCACCAGGGTTTATTCTTCTTCCTTGATGCCACAAGACAATATATATTTCTTTTCTCCCAAGAAAAAGCTCATAATAGGTTAATGCTGTAAATCCAGTCCCAAAGGTGCTTTTTTCAAGAGGCAATTTGGCCTTTCTGGTTTTTCTTCGTAGGCATTTCATTTCTCCTCCAAGAAGGTTCTTCAGCTCTGAATCGATTCCCTGCCACCCAGTCGGAACTGAACAAGCTTCTTGGAGGAGAAGTGAAACGTCTTCAAAAGGAAAACCAGAAAGCCCAATTGCCTCTTGAAAAAAAAAAAAAGGCACCTTTGGGATCACCATGAGTTGGAGGACGGAGAATCTCCACAGACTCTAAATCCGGTGTTTCTCAACTTTGCCGACTTTACGATGTGCGGACAAGCACTGTCTGGGGATTTCTGGGAATTGGAAGTCCACACGTTGTAAACTGGCCGAATTTGGGGAATGCTGCTCTAGTCCAGGAATCCCCAACTCCTGGTCGGTGGACCGATACTGGTCTGTGGCATGCCAGCAACTGGGCCACATAAACAAGCGAAGCCCCGTTTGCGGGATGCAGGCAGCATGCAAAAACCACAGCCCCTTCGGTCCGTGGAAGAAAACTTTCTCCATGGAACCGGTCCCTGGGATCCAAAAGGTTGGAGCCCCCTGCTCCCCCCCCCCACGCTGCTCTTCCCCATCAGCTTAAATTGATTCCCCCTAATTTAGTTTCAGGACCGTAAAATCTTTCTTGAAACTTCTTAGTTTCCTCTTTGAGCCAACCAAACTGCCCTCGTCTGTCAAGGCAAAGAGGTGTTCCCAGAACACATCACTCAACGTAAATAACCCCTCACACACATTTCTTATTCATCTTTTGGCTTCCATTCCAGCTTTAGAGGAAATCTTCTTTACACAAATAATAAAGGTCTTTTTTCTTTTTTTGGAGTGGGGAAAATCCCCAGAGCCGTTCCAAGTTACTGTAGGTGAGATATTTGGACTGAGTTTCTCTTAAAGAAATGAAACAGTTTGTATCCAATGCCCCATATGGGATACTAAAAAAACCTCCCTGAATTTGTGACCGCCTCCAGCCATAAAATTCATGATGTGCTGATGGAGTTATACTGTAGCCAAATTAAAAAAAAAAGATGAGTAAAACCGAGCAATATGCCTCCAGTTTTTTCCCCACTCTCTCAAGGAGTTCATGTTTGATGATTTCATGCGCTGTTCCTCCCTGCTACCTACGGCTTTGATTGAGGGCAACTGAGCCCACTGAAGAACTATACAACTATTGGTGGTTTGTGGGCTGTAGCCAGAAAGCCACAGCCAGTAATACAGTTCTTTGAACGTGGGTTGTTTCTTCAAAGTCTAGACCATTTTTTGAGGCAAACACGTGGGTGGACTCTTGCGTGAATTGAATGCAATGCCTTTCAGACTCCTGGGTTCTAAATTGCTGCTTTTGTATAATTTCATTAAGGCATTGATTAACACGGTGTCTGTCTATGAATGACTGGCTGCAGCCAATCAACATCTGGTACCAGCTTGGAAGATTAATAAACTTTATTATATGCTTATAGAATCTCATACTCTGCAGTTTTGGGTTCCTCTAGATACAATGGCTGTATTTTCTTGGGGAAAAAAATAAAAGAACAAACCTGGAAAAGGGGAAAATCTGAAGCAGTTTCGTAAGGATACAAAAACATTGTTTTACAAAGGAAAATTAAACAAAATGTGTATTTGAACAAAGGTATGTACATTTATTTTAAAAAGACAACTCAATGTCTGTTTTTTTTCCTACAAGTGCGAAAGACTGTGCATTAAACAGTACCAAGGGGAGAAATTAGATGTCCCAAATAAAGGACATCAGTGAGTTTTTGAAAAATACTATCTAAAGGGCAGGGTTTTTTTCCAAAAGAAAGAACTGGCTTTTATAATAATTCACTTAACTGTACCATACGTGATGAATTCGGGTCTCTTTCTACAATGATAGTTGTCACTATTTGGGTGGGTCAGAGGAGAATATACAAACTTCATTTTATATATAACCTGTATCTGTTTTCTTTTATGACGAAATAAAACCCGTTTAAAGGCTTCTACCAGGGATTTAGATTCAACCTTCAGCAGACTGTAGCCCCACAACTTAGTCTTCAGGCCCCACCCCTGCATTGAGGCCCCACCCCCCAACTCGAACACTCCTCCTCCAGGGTAAGCAGCCTATCTATCTATCTATCTATCTATCTATCTATCTATCTATCTATCTATCTATCTATCTATCTATCTATCCATCCATCCATCCATCCATCCATCCATCCATCCCCTATCTCTGTCTGTCTGTCTGTCTATCTATCTATCTACACCTATCTCTCTCTCTTTCTCTGTCTGTCTATCTATCACCTAGCTCTGTCTGTCTGTCTGTCTATCTACACCTCTCTCCCTCCCTCTATCTATACCTCTATCACCTGTCTGTCTATCTATCTATCACCTATCTCTGTCTGTCTGTCTATCTATCTATCTACACCTCTCTCTATCTACAGCCCCCCTCTCTCTATCACCTGTCTCTATCTATCTATCTATCTATCTATCTATCTATCTATCTATCTATCT